TGAGCGTGTCCAGCCTCGAGAACCTCGAGAGCCTGTATGCATGCTCGCGTTGCAGTCACACACACGCTCATGCACACGCACACACCTGGAGCATTTTGTGGTAACATCTGCATCAAGACATACAGATTGAAACAGTTAAACAGTCATACAAGCGATGGTAGTCGTTCTTGTCCTTGCGCCATCAGAGCCATGAGCAACGGTCCTATTCTCTGTTTGCATGCATCACCCTCCAACCCCATAACCCTCATTCGCTCTGCCCATCATCCCAGCAATTCCCATTGTGCTTCTCATCCATTGCGAGCCGCTACTATGCTTCCCAACCATGCTGCTCTTCAACCCCCTCTGACAGATCGCTGCAGGGCAACCAGCTGATAGGCCCTATCCCTGCGGGCATTGGCCAGCTGCATAATCTCCAGCGCCTGTAAGTCCCAGCCTCTCCTATTACTGAATTCCTCACTGTCTTTGTGTCACAGCATGCACGCGCATGTGCATGCATCCATCCATGATCCGTCCGTCCGTCCATGTCCCATCCAGACATGGGACCGTGGTGTTTACCACGCACGCATTCATGTATACATGCATGAATCTCTCCACACAAGTTCTGGTTCCTCTTGTGTTCGTATTCACAAGGTGGGACATGCATGCATGCAGTTCCTCAGTAGCACCTCTGCAACAACAACCACATGCAGGCCACGCACTCATCTAAGGTTCACACCAGCCTTGCATATTCTCTCCTCCACAGACCCAACATATCTCCCCCCCCCCCCCCCCCCCCACCCCCCCCCCCCCCCCCCCCCCCCTCCTCCTCTCACCCCTCCGCCTCTAAACCCGAAACCCTCCTTCCCGGCACCAGGAACATGTCCTTAAACAGGCTTACAGGCGGGTTGCCTCGCACCCTTGGCTTGCTCACGGATCTCACAGGACTGTGAGCCCTCCGCCGCCCTCCGTTTCTTCCATTCATCGCGCAACTTTTCCCCTTTTTGAACCAAAAGCACCCCTCCTGCCATGCCACCACTCATGCCCCCACCCATCTCTGCCAGTCGTAGCCCTGGTGTGTGGAGTGACTATTACTTGTTTCTTCCCCACGCCTTGCCCCTTTCCTCCACATTCATCACCCTCATGTATCCTCTCTGCACCAACAACTAACCTCCCATCTAATATCATCTCTCACCCCCATAATTCTGTGCCTGCCTTCCTCCCCCACCCTCCCGCACCCTCCCCCCATCCCCCATCCCGCATCCCCATCCCACTCCTCTCCCTTCTTCGCCCCTTGTCGAACCCCAATGTCCGTGTGGGTGCAGCTATGTATTCAACAACAGCATTGGGGGTGGTATCCCTCCCGCGTTGGGGTCTCTCACCTCTCTCATTACTCTGTGAGCAATTTTCCATTCCGCACCTTGCCTTTGCTGCATTGTGCACCGTGCACAATGCGACAAGCACCATGCACCAAGCACCATGCACCAAGCACCATGCACCAAGCACCATGCACCAAGCACAATGCACCATGCACCACCCTCCATGTGATTACTAGTTGCGTGACGAATCTTATCGCAAGCATTGCGAGCTTCAGATTGATTGATTGCAAGTGAGCATGGGCATCTCGGGAGCCTTGAGATTGGTTTGTCGATTGATCGTCCGTCCTTCTTGGGGCGTGCTTGGCTGGGCTGTGCAATCCAATCCATAGCCCAAGCAGCGGTGAATGCATGAAGTGCCCGCTGCCTTGTCCCTCGTCATCTGTCATCTCGACATGCCTCACCATACCCAACCATCCAACACGCCCCACCATCCCTCATATCTGTGCACTGCACACGCTCCCTCTACCCATCTTACCGATCCAACTGCTCTTCCTCGCATACCTGACCTGTGTGATGAATCACTTCACCTCACCCAATCTGCTCTGCTGCCGTCTCACCTCACCTCGCTTTCCCTCCTGAGTGACACCATCATCAGGGACGCACACAGCAACAACCTCACAGGACCAATCCCTGCCAGCCTGGGGGACATTGGAGCCCTCGTCGCTCTGTCAGTTACTCTCCTCCTCGCCTTCCTCCCATCTCCCATCTCCCATCCCATATGGGAGTGTACACAGCAACACATGCATACACACACATGCACGCACGCACTCACGCCTTTCCTCCATCCAGTAATTTTCTTCCTCAACGACCTCGACACACAGTCGAATGATGAAGGGCGACTCTTGGATACACAGGAAAACCACCCTTCCCCTTCCTTCCATCCATCCGTGCACGAGCAGAGATCTTCACAGCAACAGTCTGACAGGAGGCATTCCGGCAACCATCACAAAGCTCAGATTCTTGGAATCCCTGTCAGCACACACCCTCTTATCCCTCCCTCCGTTTTTTTTTTGTTCTTCTTCTTTTCCTCTCCATTCCTCCTCGCTCTCCCTCCTTGCATTCCCTCTGTAGTGCTGTCATGCCGCATGCCCACACCAGGAGGTACGCACACCATTTCTGCAAATATTAGCGCCTTGAGATTCACCATTCTGTAGCACTCTCATGCATGCCACCTCCCTACCACTGGGTATTTTTCGAGAATTCTGAAAAGCACCCAGCACCTCCCTACTACTGTCGTGCCGCATGTCTGCACTGCACCTGGAGGCAACCCCTCTTCTCGTCCCCACACCACACCCCTCCCACATCCCCACCACAACAACAGCCGCTCTTCTTTGTGTCGTTCGTCCATGCTTTCTCCTCCCCCCCATGCTGTTTTGTTTCCTCCTCTTCAACTCCCCCCTTCCACTCCTCCGCCCCCCTGCCTTATCCCCCTGCTCCCTGGCTCCCCCCCCTTTTCCGCCGCCTTTCTGCAGGGACCTGAGCTTCAACAAGCTGGTCAGCCTAGTTTTGAGGCGCCTCAAAACTAGACCTATTCCCCTGCTCCCCGTCTCCCCTTTTTTCCACTGCTTTTCTGCAGGGACCTGAGCTTCAACAAGCTGGTGGGCCCCATTCCGCCCAACATCAGCGACTCTCTCACTAGTCTGTCAGTGCCCGCTCTCTTCCACTCCACTCCACTCTCGTTCTCTTGTTTCGCCCATCCCTGCTCTGCTCCCATCCATGCCCCCATCCTTGCTCCATCCTTGTCCCCAGTACTGTATTCCTCGGCTTATCAATGTATTTTTTTCCATCATGCTCCTGTTCTAATCTCATCTGTTTTTTTCTGTACTAGCAACCTCAAAAGCAGACTCTTTGGAAATCTGGTTCATTTGGCTTTTGAAAGCACCTCTACACCTCGCAATCTTGCCACCCCAGTCCTGTTATTTGATGCGCCGCATTCACTCCTTTTCCCCTTGCATTATCTCTAACTTGTATATATTATATTTTAGACCTGCCGCATTATTCCGGATTGATCCCTTGTCTCTCTTTCATTCTTGCAATGTTTCTCGCACATACTTGTCCTCTTGTGCTCCCTTGTGCTCTTCTTGCTACCCCATGCACGGTATTCTGATAATGGAACATCGGATGTATTCTACTCTCCACCCACCTGTCTCTATCCCGCTAACTCTTTCTCCAACTCCTTCCCTCTTAGCCCCTTGATCCTTTCCACTCCACCTACCCCCCCCTTTCTCTCCCTGGCTGCCTCCCCTGTCTGCTTTGCTCTCTGCCTGCGGCTCTTGCTCGTCCGGTGCATGTGCATCTCTCTCAGAGTGGTGGCGGTCAACAAGCTCTCAAGCAGTGTGCCGGACTCCCTCAGCCTGCTCAAAAGTCTCAACACCATGTATGCATAATGCATAATGCATGCATGCATGCATTCACATGGCGTGATGCACTCCTCCTCTCCTCCTTTCCCTCCCCTACCTCCGTTCCTGCGCACCTTCCCCTCCCCCACCCTTTCTTCCTTCTATCCATCGACTCTTCTCGCCATCTCCGCCATGCGCTGGGCCCATACTCTGCCCCTGTCCCCCTGTGCCCCTGTCCCCCTGTGCCCCTGTCCCCCTGTGCCCCTGTCCCCCTGTGCCCCTGTCCCCCTGTGCCCCTGTCCCCCTGTGCCCCTGTCCCCCTGTGCCCTTGTGCCGCCAACCCCCTGCGTGCCTGCCCCCCTGTGCCCCTGTCCCCCTGTTCCCCTGTGTGCCTGCCACCCTGCCCCCCTGTGCCCCTGCGCCCGTGTCCCCCATGTGCCCTTGTGCCGCCACCCCCCTGTGTGGCCATGTCTCTTTGGCGTGCTAACCTCCTGCCCCCAGAGACATCTCGAGGAACAGCATCACGGGGATTCTCCCCCCTGGCCTGGGCGCTCTCACCGCCCTCAACAACCTGTGCGTGCCGCCTCGCCCTTCCCTCACCCCCGTCACCCTCCCTGCACTTTCTTTTATGTCCCACCGATGCTCATTTTCCCTCATCACCCCAGAGACATCTCTTCTTCCTGTCCATCCCGCCTTTGCCGTTCCCCACTTGTCGCCCCACTATCTGTCACTGTCCGAGTGCCATCCCCCTTTTCTCCCGTATGACTCGCACTGCCTCTGGCTGCGCCACTGTTCTATGGCTCACTCAGGTGGTTTTTGAGGCGCCTAAAAAACCACCTCAATGCCTCTGGCTGCGGCGCTCTGCTATGGTTCACTTCACATCGCTGATGATTCTCAATATCAAGTGAAGCCTACTGATGCGTGTAACGTGTTTGCACACAGACATCGGCATCACCTGCGTCCTTCTTTCTCTCCCATACGCTCTCATCGCATGTGTCCCTTTCTCCCTCCTTCCTTCCATATCCCTGTCTCCTTCACTTCCTCCCCTCCTCACTTCCTCCCCTCCTCACTTCCTCCCCTCCTCACTTCCTCCCCTCCTCACTTCCTCCCCTCCTCACTTCCTCCCCTCCTCACTTCCTCCCATCCTAGACGATGCTTCATGTCTTTCTCCCCCCCTTGTTTCTCCCCCTTACCCCTTTTCTTTCATCCCGTGTGCCTCGCCATCTCTCCACCTCCCCCGGTCATGGTGTGTCCACACCACACACACACCGCACACATGTCACCCCACGCCACGCCAGCACGTACGACTTGGCGCTGATCAAGTGTCCCAGCTACCCACAGAACGACTGTGCCACGCAGCAGAACACTCTCAGCACCTTCTGCAAGCAGTGCAGTGGCTTCTGCTCCGGCTGCCTCTCCAAACACCCTCCCCCACCTACCTACCCTCCACCTCCACCAATTGCACCCCCTCCTCCGCCTCCCCCTTCCCTCTCTCCTCCCCCTCCACCTCTCCCTCCCTCTCCCCCCCCTCCCTCTCCGTCTCCTCCCCCCGCGCCTCCTCCGCCCTCGCCACCCCCACCTCCTGTGCCTGAGGCGGCTGCGGGGTTGTCAGCAGGAGCGGTGGTGGGGATATCGGTGGCAGCAGCGGTGGCCGTGCTGGGCTGTGGCTGCTTGGGCTTTGTTCTCATCGCCCTCTTTAGGACCAAGAAGTCACGAGGAGGTGAGTCTCTCTGCCTGACCAGGGGGGTTGTGTGTGTGTGTGAGGGGGTTGGCGAAAGATGGTTATGGAGGTCAATGTGAGGGCAGAGACGGGGGTTGTAATGAGAACCTCTGCTTCAGACAAAGGAGTGAATGTGGTTAAGTCTTAATGCGTTATCATCTCCCCTCTATCCCATCCTCTGTCTTCCATCCCCATTCCCCATCCCCCATCCCTCGTCCCCCATCCCCCTATCCCCCATCCCAACCTCCCCCATCCCCTGTCCCCCATCCCGCATCCCCCTTTTGTCCCCACACCAGCATCAACGATGCGCACGGCCAGCAGTGCGGTGCCGCAGGTGTGCCTGCAGTACTCTCTGGAAGAGGTCACACGAGCCTCGTCCAATGTTTGAGGTGCCTCAGAAATCCTCTCCCCGACCCCCCCGTTCCCCTCTCTTCCACACCAGCATCAACGATGCGCACGCCCAGCAGTGCGGTGCCGCAGGTGTGTCTGCAGTACTCCCTGGAAGAAGTCACACGAGCCACGTCTGACTGGGCAGCGGCCAACAAGATCGGCAGCGGGGGCTTTGGGGACGTGTACCGCGGTGTCGACCCATACAACCCGGCCATTCCCTGGGCTGTCAAGCGCGCCCGCGTGCTCACTAACGACTTCCGACGAGAGGTGAGAGGATTGGATGGAAGCTTATGACAATGGCTCGTCTGCCCCTCTTCAACTCTCTTTCGTCCCTCGCTGCAGCTGCGGCATCTTCTGTTTCCAATCTAGGTCTCTTTCCAGGTGTCTGTAGCTGGTTGTGGCCTCCTTGCTGCATGCCGTGCCCGCTGTCTTATGTGTGCTCGCTGTCGAGAGTCATTGTGAAGTATCCAAGTAACTGCACAAGCTGACCGCCTGTGCGCTGTGCCCTTCGCCCTGTGCCCCTGTGCCCTCTTGCACTGCTCCCAACAGGTAAACGAGATGGCAACAAAGCACCACCCGAACCTGGTGCGGCTGCTGGGGTTCTGCATAGACGGCGATGCGGCATCGGAGAACATAGAGCAGATCGTCATCTACGAGTTCATGATCAATGGGGACCTCTCCAAGAGGCTCAATGCTGGTGAGGGACGCGGTGAAGGGTGGTGTGTGGTGAAGGGTGGTGTTTGGTGAGGGTAGTGATATCTTAGCTGTGTGGTGGTGGGAGGTATGCTGTGGTGGATGCTGACAAATGCTGCTGGTGAGTGTTTGCTTACAAAAGAGCTCAAAGTAGGAGCTAAACAGCAAATCCCTCTCTCCCTCCCCACCTCCCTGAACCCCCACCTCCTCTTGCAATTGTTCAGAGGACCCGTTGACGTTGAAGCAGCGGTTGGAGATTCTCATCGGAGTGGCGCGCGGGTTGGAGTATCTCCACAGCTTTGGCATCGTGCATCGTGACATCAAGCCCGCCAATATCCTGCTGGATAGCAACATGCAGGTGAGCTGTGCTGCCTCGTGCATGCGAGATTGTACTGAACTGCACAACAAGCCAGCCTTTATTCCTACTGGACGTCAGCTAGTAAGCCACAATGCTTTTGAGGTGCCTGATAAAGCATTGGCGCATGTGGAGGGCCCCCTGTGCCCACTCCCCTCCCCCATGACGTTGCAACTCTCTTTCTTGTCCCCGCTCTTGTTCTTTCTTATCATCTGACCCACTCCTCTTATCAATGTCATGTCTTGTTTTGTTTCGTTTTGTCACATCCTATCGCCCGCCACTGGCAGTCGAAGATAGCAGACTTTGGGCTGGTGAGGATGGGCGAGGGTACGCAGCTGCACTCCACGCGAGTGCTGGGCACACCGGGCTATGTGGACCCTGCATACTCTCAGTCTCAGAAGGCCCCCACCACCGCTGACGTGCACAGGCAAGTGCTGGCCGCGCTTCTGCTCCCCTTTTTGCTGTTGAATCCTTGTGCCATCAATCTTCCTTCTTCAGCTATAAGCAATTTGTCCAATCCCCCCTCTCCCCCCATCCAGCACCCTCGCAACTTCCCATTCCACACCCCACGTACGCCCCTCCCTCCCCTCCACCAGTTTCGGCGTGCTGGCCCTGGAGCTGTTAACCAACCGGCACGCAGTGTTCATGCTGGAGGGTGGGCAGCTGGTGAACGTCAAAGAGTGGACGGCCAAGAAGCTCGCAAGCAGCCGCATTGCAGACATCTGCGACCCGCGCATCGCAGCCCCCGACGCCCTCGTGCGGCGCCTCGCAGAGCTCGCCATCTCCTGCACCACCATGCCCACCGCCTCCCGCCCCACCATGGGCAAGGTTGCGAGCGAGCTCGAGGCGCTCAAGGACGAGTTTGTCGGGCAGGAGGTGAACCGGGCGGCGCGAAATATCGACGAGCAGATTCACTCGGCGTCGCAGCTGCACCGGCCTCTGGATGAGGAGTTGGATAGGATTTCTAATATGACTCCGAGTAGCGGGCCGGGGAGCACGATGCGGGAAGGGAGTGGGATCGTGCCGGTTAGTGGCAGCACGCATGACGAGGAGCCGCTGACAGCGAACGTCTCGCATGCTGCTGGGTGAGGGAGGGAGGCACTGGCACGTTGGAGCGTGTACTGTGCACGCTTGGTCAAAGGTTTCCTTCGTACCGTGCAGTAGTGCGATGCGATGGGATAGGGTGGGGTGGGGTGGGGTGGGGTAGGTTGGGTTGGTGGGATGGCACGGTACGCATGGGCCATTGTGAGTAGGTATTTATCTAGCCTGGTGGCTGAAAGTGCCCTCAGTGGCGCGGTGGTGCTCACTGGTGGCTTGGTTACTGAGCAGCAGAAGTTGCTTACTGCCAAGCCAGCACCCTAATTATTATTGCGGTATTTTATATTTAGAGCAGCCAGCTACAGGCAGGGGACTTGACGGTGCTGCAGACAGTACAAGTGCAGAAGGTTGCTGTAGGTGTATGGGTCATTACTACCGTTATCGCCCGGATATAAGACGTATATGTCTTATCTCATACACTAAAAAACATGCTTGGGTTGTCTTGTATTTGGGGAGGTTTTGGGTGTCTTATAAATGGAAACTTTTTAAAACTACGGTACTATGAAATATTTTCACACGTCTTGAAAAGAGTTTCTCATTAAGAGTGTACATGTTGCGAAGGTGCCACTTCGGCAACCACTGTTCGGGACGCCACGTCGTCCCGAATACTTGCAGAGTCAAATTTGGTAGTATGTGAGTCAGCACGTGGCAGAATTCGCGTGTCGCAAGGGTAAAAATGTACGCGGTATTTCAATTTTCACTATAATACATAGCAGTTTCGATTATCAGACACATAACATATGCCTTATCTCGTACACACAAATAGGTGTCGTATAAAAAGGCTAGCCTGTTTATAAGAGACACCCGTATAATAGACAACCCCTGTCTACTATTCAACAGTCATATATCCGGGTGATGACGGTACCAGCTGTCTGTATGGCTGGACCCGTGCACCCCCCTGACCTGAACTGAGAGTATGAGTGTATGTTCTATTTATGGGCTGTTGTCATCCCGATGACAATGCACCCCACTATCCTGCAGCTGGAGGGTCCTGATCAGACTGTACCATACCGTATGAAATCCAAGTACCTAAACAGTTAGGTGACAATTGGAGCAGAGACAAATGAATGTCACCGTGGTATAGAAAGGCACCTACCTAACAGTACTACAATCAAGCAGCTGTTTTGAATGTCAGTAAGGCCAGCAAACGCTTCAGCTTTTCACAACGAACAGTAGGATCAGTTAGAGCTGTATAGAAAATGGACTCATAAACCCACCGCCGCGCTTCCACGGCACAGCAGCTTGCGTGCAGCCACGCTGCAAAACGAGCAACAGTCAGACTCAAAAGCACGACAAAGCAAGCCAAGCACCAGTTGAGTAACAAGCTGATCAAAGTCAAGAGCAGGCCACGACGAGAGCAGGGTGAGTGGCGGTGGTGGTGAAGAATCAGCCGAAGAAGGGCAGGGGGCGCTGCACTGCTGCCTCCACATGGCGCAACTCTGCTATAAGCTGCTCTGCTGTGTCCTGGGGCAGCGGTAGCCGCCGCACCTCCCCCATGTACCTGGGATGGGCACGCACACACACGCACACAGGTAGGTAGGCAGAACGTGAGAGCAGGAAACAGGGTGGGAGTGATGGGGGGAGCGGATAGGAGAGGAGATGGGGCAAGGTGTGGAGAAGAGAGGGAGAAGATGAACAGAGAGGGAGGAGGAAGAGGATAGGGAGCGAATCCCGGGAGCGTGAGTTGTCGTACCGGCTGCAAGCGCTGACAAGCACGGCTCTGGAGGCACGTGCGCTCATCCCATCGCCCATGCGCGGCCCATCCATAGCCATGAACTCACTCCCGTCCACACCTCCCGCTTTCCCCCGCCCACCGCCATCCCCACCCAGCCCCCCGTCGGCATCGACAAGCGCTGCAGCCCACTGCTTGAGAACAGCGAGGACTGAGAGCAGCAGGCGTAGGCGGAGGGACGGCTGGCAGAGTGGGCCGGCAGCACGCGAGAGCAGCTGCGAGTATGCTGCTGCCACGGGCTCGTATGCGCCGCCGCAAGCGGAGATGAGGGCGCGGGGGATCTCGTCGTGGGAGGACTCGCCTCTCGCCTCCAGGTCCTGGTTGTGAGAAGGAGGGGGAGGGGGGACACAGGCAGGGGAGAGACGGGTTACGGGTGGAGCAGTGAGCATGATGAACAGGATCCATAAATTGCAAAATTGCTTTTTCGTCCTCACCCCGCTAACCGAAGTTTTTTCCTTCCTTTCCACACCCGCCGTAACCTCCCTGTACTCTCTCCCCCCACCCCCCCTTCTTCTCACTCACCCCAACCACCCTGGACTCATCACAGCAGCGCACCTGTGCTGCTTGCTCCAGCAGCAGGCAGAGGAACTCCAGAGGAAGACTGCCCCCACTGCCTCCCGAACCACCGCCACCAGCACCACCGGCACCAGCAGCAGCAGCGCTGCCAGCACCACCACGCATGGAGAGCGAGGAGCCCACCCTCTGCACTCGCTCGCACGCCTCTGCAATGCCGCCCTGCTGCAGGCCTTGCTCGATGAGATTGCGCCACATGGCACGCTCCACACCGTTGCTGCCGTCACTTGCATAGCTGGAGAAGCGGAGAATCTCCAGGCAGACCTGTGGAGGGCAGGGGGATTGCAACCAACCAACGAGCATGAGGAGTGGATTCTTCTAGAAGGCACTGTATGAACGGGTGCAAGCAAACATGAGAGATGGTGGTTTAGGGTTTTGGCACGCACCTCCCACAGCTGGAAAGGCACGGCATAGTCGTTGTACAGGTCTGTTATGCTCCGCACTTCTCTCTGCAGCTCTGCTGCTGCCACCTCTGCTCGCCGCCGCACCTCCATCTCCCCGGCCCCGTTTCCTCCTGCCGCACCTGCAGCCCCGTCTCCCCCTTCTTCCATTGCACCGGCACCCCCTGCTGCTGCTCCTGCTGCTGTTGCTGCTGCCTCGTGCTGTGGTGAAGGCTGGCCGTCAAACCTGCAAGACGGCGGGTTGGTAAAACACAGGGGGGGGCGCCTCAATACTTAACACACATTGCTATCGCGGTAGACAGGCTAAGGTTCCTATGCTCCCTCTGCTTCTCTCTCGCTTTCTTTCCCACTTTCACTCCCTTCTTCTCTCTATTACTCCCCCTCCCATTCACCTGGTGGCGACAGCGAGCAGGTGGTCGCGAATGCGGATTTGGAACTGCAGCACCGCCAGCTTGTCTTTGAGCACTGTCTGCAGCCGCGCCACCTCCTTCTCACCCCCGCCCCCTGCTGCTGCACGCCCTCCCATGCCCCTTGCACCTGCACCCCCTCCTGCTCCCGTGCCCCCGCTGCTGCTGATGGCTGCTGCTTGCAGTACTGCCGCACTCAGGAGGTTGCACCTGATGGATGGTGGAGGGGAGGAAACAGGGGAAGCGGCGAGGATGTTATAGATGAGACACGGGGGGCATGAGGAGCAATGCCATGGATAGATGCAATATGCACACATGCAGAAATGCATACATCGATACTTGCACACACGCACACTTGCACGCATGCTTGCACTGACCGTTCCTCGAGGGAAAGGAAGCCCGGGTGGCCTGGCTGGGCGCCGTCCACCTGCTGGCGCTCTGCGAGGCGCAGCAGCACATGCGCTGCCAGCTCATGCTGCCGCCGCTCTATGTAATACCGTGCTAGCACCGAGAGGTACCGCACATGCAGCTGTGGGGGAGGGAGGGGAGGGGGAAGGGGGAGGTGTGGGGGAGAGATGAGGGGGAGTGGGGGGTGCGGAGAGGGTTGGAGGAGTGATGCAAGGAGACAAGAGGGTTGGATTCGTTTGAGATGGGGAAGGCCGAAGGGACGTGAGGGGCAGAGGAACAGCATGGAGGCGGATTGACCTGTGCTGTTCAGGTCAGCACGATTGACACATCAAGAATTGCACACTGTCACATGGCCGCAGGATGCTTCTATCAGCCACACAGCATCAGATCAATGCGTCAGACCGGGGTTCCGGAGGCAAGGCAGGAGGAAAGCTTCTGAAAGGACCCACAGCACAGCAGCACCCACCTGCTCGTCAGGGGGCTCCACGTCGGCCCCAGCCGTGCGGAGAAAGTCCTCAACGTCAGGAGCAGAGAGCGAGATGAGCAGCGAGTCCAGCCCCAGGGCTATGAGTGCGGCGTAGAGGCGGCGGTGGAAGAGCGCATCGTCCCATGCCACCGCCTGCCGCACCACCGCCACCAGCTGCTGCTCCCTCTCCTCTTCTGTCAGTGCCGCTGCTCCCAGTGGGCTGCCAAATGGGAGGAGGAAGGGACAGGGGATTCGGAGAGGAGCATAGAATGAGCAGAAAGAAACTCTATTTTAGAAACGTCCACACATTCCTCCCCTCTCTCTCCTTCCTTCTCACCTCTCTTCTCTCCTACCCCCCTACCTCCTCCTCTTTGTACCTCTTCTAATCTCTTGAGCCCTCTTCCCTCCCTTCCTTCCTCTTTACCTCAACCCACCCCATCCTCTCTCCTCCTCCCCTCGCTCATACCGTGGCACGCCAAACTGAGGGCGCGCTGCCACGCCGGCCCCTGTAGTCTGGCCACTGAGCGTGCGCACTGCCGCCACCACCACGTCGTAGCATTGCTGCCGCGCCTGCCATGCCATAAACCGTGCGGGTGAGATGATGCACTTTTGAGACACCTCAGATCCATGCACGTTGGAAGTTGGATAGTGCATTTGACGAATGGAGCGTGGAAAGACAGTGGCAAAAGATGATTTGATGGAGGGACACATATACGCAGAGAGACATGGGAGCATGAGAGGTGGCAGTGCACCAGCAATCAGCAAACAAGCAAGGAAATAATCAAGCAAACAAACAAAAGACTGATAAAAGAGGAGAAGCAGGAGCAGAAATAGTGCCAAGTTGGGACTTGAAGGAGAAAAAGGAGGCAGAGGAGGAGAGGGAGCAACGTGCCTGCATGGCGGCTGCTCGGACAGCCGGGTCGAGGCGGGCATTGGTGGCGTCGTTGTTGGGGTCCAGCGCGCGTGCCTTGCGCAGAGGCAGATCCACCACCGCTTGGTAGAACCTGGTGACGGCAACACAGACAGGGATGTTGGAACGGGGAGACCAGGACGCAGGAGGGGGGAGGTAGGAGAAGGGAGGACAGTGGGCCAACAAGAGGTGGGAGAGGAGCATGATGTTGCGTGATGACAAAGTATTTACCAGTTGGCCAAGCCGCCAAGACATAATGTCTTAGGCATTACAATAAGAGGATCCCTCCACGGGCCTCTCTGGCAAGAGATCTCTCCCTCGGCCCTCACAAAACCCTCAAGCTTCACATGTACCCATCCCATTATCCCCTTCCCCGTCCCCAGCCCGCACCACCACTCACCCGATGTCTTCAAAGCGCTGGCACACAGACAGCAGGTCAGCAGTCTCAGGCACGCGTGCGAGCAGCGCCATGGCCTCTCTGGCGAGGCGCGTGCGCGTGGCGGCATCACCGGCGGCAGCAGCCTGACGAGCGGACTCAAGGCATTGCACGGCAGCAAAGAAGGTCTGATCCGCGTCCGAGAAGAACGACGGGCAGTCCGTGCGCAGCCGCGCACACATGTCCTCCATCGACCCGCGCGCACTGGGCGTTGTGTAGTACTGGAAGGGTGGGGGGGAAGAGGAGAGGAGAACATGTGGTGGTGAGTAAGGGAAGCGAAGGCCCATAAAGTTCCCTCGGACTCGGCGTAGTTTAGTACTGCAGGTGGGCGAGGAGGGGAAAAGATGGAGGGAAGTAGGTGGAGGAGGGGGGCGGGGGGTGGCTTAAAAAGCCGAGCAAGCGGAGGTAGGGAAAGGAGTGGAACGAGAGTTACAGTGCCCAACTTCCTAATCGTTGCTGTCTCGACCAGCAATTGCATGAGTAGACATTCCCGGTGTGTCCCACGACACGACACAACCTCTTTTCCCTGCTGCCACTCACATTCCCTCCCCTCTGCAACGTCCCCACCTCGCCACCCTCTCCTACCCTCTCCCCCCTCTCCCCCCTCTTCCCCCTCTCCTCCCTCTCCACCCCCAGCAGCACCTGCAGTAGAGCAGCGATGAGCTGGGAGGCAGCGGAGTCCCCAGCGGGAGAGCAGACGAGGTGGTGCAGGGTGAGGGAGGCGAGCAGCGCGTGCCACGAGGGGTGCAGCGCGTGCACGAGGCGCATCACGTGGTGCTGTGACAGCACGTGCAGCAGCCTCAGCGCCTCCGCCGTGCGCCGCAGCAGCCGCCGCAGGCCCTCCGTGGCGCGCACCTGGGGGGGATGAAGGGAGGAGAGGGCGCAGGGGAGGGCGCAGGGGAGGGGGCGAGCGGGGAAGGGGGCGAGAGGAAGAGAGAAAAGGGGCAATGGAAACTGGTGAGAAGGAAAATGCTGTAACGCTGTGCTTGTAAGGCCTTATGTTCCCCATCTCTTTCCCTCCTCACCAATCCCACTTCCTTTTTCTACCGTACCATCAGCTCAGCTACAGGACAGCCCATGCCAGCCACTCGCTCACCTCGTGGGCGGCGAGCTGGGCGGCAGTGGGAGCCAGCCTCTGCCTCTTGGAAAACGCCCCCTCTGCGTCCATTGCTTCAGACATCCACCCTCCCCCAGATCCCACCTCCGGGTACCCACCCATTCCTGCCCTTCCCCCTCCTGCTTCCCCTCCCCTTCCTCCTCCAACCCCCATTCCTCTGTCCCTGCCCGCACGCCCCCTCTCCTGCTCCCCAGTCCCATGCCACGCAGCTCCTCCTCCCACCTGTCCCCCTCCTGCTCCCGCTGCGCCGGCAGCAGCAGCAGAGGGCGCGGAGGAGGAGGAGGGGAGGGCGGGCAGGAGACCAGCGCCCAGGACACGTGCGTAGAGGCCGCGGCGGTGGTCCCGGCGCGAGCGCAGAAAGGCTTCGAGCAGCCTCGTCTTGGTCTCGTATAGCAATAGCACCTCCGATGGTAGGCTGGCAGGGCAGGCAGACGAGGTGGGGTGGGGATTGACAGGCGCGTGCGGGAGGAGGAAAACGGGTGTTTGGTGGGTGGGAGAAGGAAATGAGTAGGGGAACCCGCGGAGACGATGTGCGTGGGTGCGGGAGGGTTTATTGGGGGGAAAGGGGTGTAGAGGGGGGGGGCAGGGACGAAGGAAAGAGGGGGGTGTGTGAAATATGGTGAGGGGGAATGGAGGTTGAGGAAAGCAGATACAGTGCTAAGAGCAGTGCCAGGAGGAGTGCAAAAGCAGTGTGAGGAACAGTGCCAAGAACAGACCTGCAGTAGAGGGCAGCAGATGCAGCACCACTGGCACTGCCACCACCAGACGCCCCTGCAGCAGCACTACCAGCTGAGTGCCCACCAGCAGCAGCCGCAGCAGCAACGGCTCCGACATTAGAGCCCGAGGGCGACGAGAGGACAGGCAGGTCCCATATAGGCCCTAGCAGCCTGGCCACACATAATGACAGCCCTTGGAACGCGCCGGAATATACCACCTGCACTTCTGCTCCTCCTGCTGCTCCTGCTGCTGCTGCGTTACCCCATCCTGCCCCCATGCCCATCCTCCCTGCAAACCCAGCCCAGCCGGGAGCTGCTGCCCCTGCTGTGCCATAACTACCACCAGCAGCAGCAGCAGCAGCAGCAGGGGTGCCGGGGGCAGCTGGGGTGGAAGGGGCGTACGGCCGAGCCCAAGCTCCCGCCCCTGCTGGCCCTGCTGCTGCTCCAAACGCGGCCCCTGGAGCTCCTGCCACTCCTGCTGCTGCTGCAGGGCCGGGAGCAACACCCGGAGCAGCAGCAGCAGCAGCAGGAGGAGGAGGAGGAGGAGGAGTGCCGTAGGGAAGAGTTTGAAGAGAAGGGAGTCCCACAAAGCGAGGGTCGTCTAGAAGCTGAGCTGCTCGCTCTGCTACCAGCACAGACACTGCTGATGCACTCCCTGACACCCCCCCTCCCACCCCTGCTCCCCCACCCCCCATCCCACCAACCCCCGCTCTCCCCCTCCCGTCACCACCTCCCATCCCCCCATCCCACCCGCCTGCCACCCTGCCACGTCGCCTCTCCCCTCCTCCAGTGCCACACCGACCAGCAGCGCCGCCACCATCCTCCCCATCCATCATGTCTCTACCAGCACTCTCCTCCCCATTGCCCGCCACTGAGCCTTCCTTCCACGGGCTGATCCCCGCCGCCAGCAGCAGGCACATGGCAGCAGCCTCCGCGCTGCCGTACCGCACGAAAAAGCTCTCCACCGCTGCTCGCGGCGCGTTTCGCTCCAGCAGGCGCCGGAGCACATCCACAGGGCGGTTCACTGCGAAATTCACCAGCCCAACGGTTGTTAGCACCACAAGGGACCGCCGCGGAAGCATGTGTTGAGTCGCCAGGATCCCCCGAGCCCACAGCCGCCGCGCCCGCGCCAGCTGCTCCTCCTCCCCGCCTCCTTCCTTCAGCCGCAAGCCCCCCATGCTGCTTCCGTCCCCTGCTGCCCCCCCCTTTCCTGCTCCTCCCTTCCCAGGGGTTCCAAACCATCCTCCCCACCCTCCGCCCCCTCCCCCTCCCCCTCCTTGCGCTCTCTCTGGCGATCCGGAGAGTAACCAGCCCAATGCCCCTCCCCCTCCGTCTCCTCCTGCGCCCGCTCCCGCCCCACCTCCTCGCCCTGCTGTCCCCGAAAAGGGGGAATCAGGCGGGAGGAAGCCATTTGCAGCAGCAGAAGAGGCAGTGAGAGCACCAGGGAAGGAAGCAGTGAGAGCAGTAGAGGGGAGAGCGCCCAGGACAGGAGCTGAGGCAACGTCAAAGGCGGCAGTGAGGAGGAGAGGGGGGAGGAGCTCCGCCATTGCGAGCACACGGCCCTCCAGGGGCACGATGGACACGGTTTCCCGTAAACCGCGAGGGGGATGCGCCGATGATGACGCGTATGCACCACCTGCGCCTGCTCCTGCTGCTCCCATTGCTGGTGCTGCGTGGGGTGCAAAAGGGCTGGCGGCTGAGCCCAGGCCCGCTGGTGCTGCTACAGGCGTGCTAAACCCGAATGCCCTCTGCTGCTGCTGCTGCTGCTGCTGCTGCTGCTGCTGCTGCTGCTGCTGTTGCTGTTGGGAGGAGGGTGAGAAGAAGGAGAAGGGGGATGAAGGAGCAGCGGCTGGTGCAGGCGATCCAAACTGCTGCTGCTGATAATGATGGTGATGATGTTGCTGATGCTGGTGCTGGTACTGCTGGTGATGGGTGGGAGAGGAGCCAAACCCACCACCGCCAGGCACAGCAGCAGAAGTAGCATACAATCCCGGGGACCAGGGAGGAATGGTAAGGTCCCTGAGGCAGATAACAAGCTGCGAGGCAGTGGGAGGGGTCACAGCAGCAGCGGCCATGGATCCCAGGGGAGGAGAGGCATCAGAGAGGGAGAGCTGGCCGGCATGGCACACGGCGGCCTCCACCCGGAGCATGAGAGCCTGCTCCGCACCAAAAGTCAGCCCTCCAAAGCCGCCCAGCCCTCCCAGCCCCACTGCCGCGCCCATCCCTGCCAGCCCTCCTCCTCCTGCAGACCCTGGAAACCCCCCACCGGGAATGCCTGCGCCATACCGCCCCGATCCTGTCGCATCGTAGAATCCCCCCCCCACTCCCATGCTTCTCCCTGCTCCACCCCACCCAGGAGCTCCTGGAAGGCCGGCGCCTGGGGGAGACCCGTACCCTGCCGCGCTCGCTGCTGCTGCGGCTGCTGCGGCTGCTGCTGCTGCTGCGGCGGGTGATCCAGCAGCAGAGATGGGGAGCCCACGTGGAGGGGCAGCCCGAGCACAAACAACTTTGAGCTGGGACGGCCGCGGGTGCTTGTGGGTGTGGTGAGACGCCGCAGAGGAGGCGGTGGGAGTGGAGTGCCCGGGGGGAGGGAGAGGGCGGGGGATGCGGTAGTGCGAGGGCGTGTGGGACGTTGAGAGGAACACACGGCGGCCGTCGGATAGAACAGCTACAAGATGAATGGAGCGAGACTCGGCTACAGACGTGGGAGCGAGAGACACAACAGACGCCTTAGCCGGCACTACTCGCCCCCCTCCCCCTCTCCCTCCTCCTGCTCCTGCTCTTGCTCCTCCACCAACCCCTTGCCCACCACCACCAAAAAAGCCTCCCCCTCCAAACCCACCAGCAGAACCAGCTTCGCGGTAATACTCGCGCAGGGACCCCACGTGGGAGGTCTCGGCCACCTTGCGTGCGGGCTGCTGGCCGTCCGCGCCCAGGTCAAAGGCGAGCAGGCGCGAGTCGAGCGTGCGCGCGTACAGAATGGCCCGATCCACGTCCACCTGTAGCTCTGCCACTGGGCTGGCTGATGAGAAGCGGAACACTGAGGGAACAACCAGCCTGGGGCAGACGGGGTGTGCGTGGAGGGCAAGAGAGGGAAGGAGGAGAGGGGGGAGAGAGCGGGTGAGGAGGGAGATGCGAACTGGAGAGATGGGGAGGGGGAAGGAGGAGTGTAGAGTGATTGTCTAATATGCCAAACCCTGACAAAGGAACAGCGTACTAATCCTTGCATATGCGACTTGCTGAAGCGTGACAGAGTCACGAGCTAAATCATGCACCACACACATACGAACGCACGCATGCACGCACGCACGCACGCACGCAGCTTGCAACTCACTTGGAGATCATGGCCGTGATTGAGTTGGTGAGGCACAGCTTGCGGCAGCGGCGCTGCCAGCCCGACCCTGAGCTGTACACCATCTCATATACATGCCCGTCCTGCCCGCCCAGGAAGATCCTCCCACATGGCGTCCCTGCCACGCACGTCATGGCCACGTTGTCGCTGCTCACCACGTAATCAGGCAGCGGCTGCAGGACTATCTCGTCTAGAGGCGCCTGCCCCTGCCCCTGCCCCTGCCCCTGCCCTTGTGCGCCTGTCCCTGCCCCCCTTTCTCCCTCCCCTGCTGCTGCTCCTGCTGCTGCTAAGGAGGAGGTGGGAGGAGGAGGGGTGTTGAAGAAGGATGTGTCTTGCAGGCTGGGCGATGGCGCTGCTGCTGCTGAAGTAACCCCGCGGGACAGGAGGGAGGGGCTTCCTCGGGAGCAAAGGCCGAGTAGAAGAATCTTAGGGAAGGGAGGACAGGGAGACGCGGTTTTGGGGAGGGGAACGACGAGGGGAAAGATTATCGAAGAGGGAAAGCAGAGCGACGATGGTGGTAGTTTAGTAAATGGCAAGGCTACTAGCAATGCCATATCATGCCATAACATGCCATGAACCCTCCTCTTTCCACTGACGACAACCCCAGTTCCTACCTTGCACAAACACACGTGTGCATGGCAATGCAGTATCGCTTTTTGTTGGTGTGAGAGTGAGAGTGAGACGGACCTCGAAGGGCGTGGCGAGCACGAGCAGGTGCTGGATGGCGTGGATGAACACGGACGGCCGCGGCTTCACCAGCCCCACCGCGCAGATGGCGTGCTGCTCCCACGTAAACTGCACACACTTCCCGCCCCTGCTCCGCACATGGGTATGCGCATGTGCGCGCGTGCATGGAGTGCCGTGCGTGCGGGATGAGGGTAAGCATCAACGCATGGAAAAAGTGTGCATGGACGGACGGACCTTGTGCTAATGGCTGCGAGCGTGAGACATCAGCCTTAGCAGCATCTCTATCACTCTCTATACAATGGCAGGACCTTCTGAGAGTGAAAAAGAGAGACTCAGGAGCGCAGAACAGTTAACCCATCCAACCTCCCCTTCTCCCTTCACCCCCCTTTCTCCCCTCCCCCACCTCCCCCGCTTCTATGCCCTCCCCCCAACCCTCCCCCCTTCCCCCCCCGCACGCGCACCTGTTCCCCAGGCGCCAGAGAAAAAGTGTGTTGTTGACGGTGGCCCATGCGAGCCGCGCAGCGGGGAAGAGTCCGCAGAGCGCGGAGCCCTGGCCACCCGCCGCGTTGTAGCGCGCGATCAGCTCCGCAGGCAGCTCCTCGAACCCCACCTGCTCCACTGCCGCCGGCCACTGTTGCCACAGAGAGAAAGGTTCCCCCGCAGGGAGGCGCGCGGCAGGGACGGACGGTTGTGGTGGGGGGAACGAGGGGGTGGGGTTGAGGGGAGGGGAGTGGGTTGACCAAGGGAAGGAGCGGGGGGTATGGGGGGGGAGTGGGGAGGGGGCAAAGCGGGGAAAAGTATTTCAAAGATCAGGGATGTTTGGTTTGGAAATGTGTACCCGTTTCGCTCACATTCGGCAATTGGATCAACCCTCCCCCCTCTCAATCCCCCTCAGCAGCGTACCTCTAGCGGCGGGCTCGAATACGGCTGGAAAGCAGACAGCCGGCCGGCCTCCAGATCCTCCTGCAGGTCCGGTAAACCCAAAGCCCCGCCCCCTGACCCAGCCCCCGCGGCGGCGCCTGCCGCTAAATGTCCTGACGCTGACGCTGCCACGTGTCCTGGTGCGGATGCTGCCACGTCATCCGCGAGCAGATCCGATAAGAACCTCCCCGCTTCCTCCACATCGGTCAGCACACCAGCGGCGTCCAGCCATCGCTGCGGCTGCCCGTTCGCGCCCACCACCATGCTTCCCCACGGGCTCGCGGAGACACCGCTTACTGCGGAGGCTAATGCGCTCGCCGCGGCGGCAGAGGAGGAGAACGGGGAGGAGAGTCCAGGCATGGAGGCGGACGGCGGAGGCGGAAGCGGGGAAGTTTGCGGAGTACTGGAAGGATACCCATTCTGCTGCTGCTGTTGGTTTGAAAGCCCGCCGGGGGAGGGTGCGCGGTGGTGCGAGGGCGAGGGGGTGTGGAAGTTGAATTCTGGCGCGGGCGAGGGTGGCTTGGCGCGGGCGCCGAGCGGAGAGGAGAACCCACCGCCGTCTTGACTCGCGGGTGCTGCTCCTGCTCCTCCTGCTGCTGCTGCGCCCGCGCCCCAGGAGCGCAGCGACGCCATGGAACGAGGCTGCCAATGCGAGACCAGAGGTGGAGCCTCTAGTGACCAGAGGACAAAGGGAAGAGGATCTAGTGACCAGGGGCTCCCACGTGAGATTGCGAGCGGGCGGCCGGATCGACGAGTAGGTAAGCGTCAGACGGAAGGAAATCGGGCTGGATAAGCGGCGGCGAGGCGTTAGCTGGAAGGGAAATAACGATGAGGGAAAAAGGTAATGGATCGCGGAAGATGAGCGCGTGGAATGGTCGACAGGGGTGAATGCGGGAAGAAATCGAAGACCAATGCGAAGACCCGATACAAGCGAGCGAACCGAGGAGTTTTGACTCACAGATGCTAAAAAAGATACACCGATGGACATTAGGTTGCTCAATTACACACTGAACTCGTTACAAAACAGGTTTCGCGAGGAAGCGACTAGCTGCACCGCACAGTCGAGTCGATAAAGCGAACGGATGCGAGGTTGTTGAGGAATCATCGATCGGCGTTCACTATTCGACCAGCCGCTGGCCAGAACGGGCGGCTGGGTATCGACGCCACGCGGAGGCCATCCGCATTTTGGCTAACGAGATTCTCCGCGTAGGTCAACCAGAATTAGTGTGCGGGAATCGGAACCTAGACGATCCCGACTCGTGAGAATCACTTCATTGACGGTAACGCAGGAACAGATCAGAGAGGTGGGAGGTGGGAGGTGGGAGGACTAAACCTGGCCAAAATGTAGCAACGCAGTGACCAGCCAGATGGGCGGGAAGGGTCTCGACTCTAGAGATTTCCAAATGTGTAGGGAGATTGGATGCGATAAACGGTGGTGCTCAATAGCATAGACAACGCTTTTAGAATTCAAGGTGTTCTTAGGATGGACTCTACTTTGATCTGCGAAACTGTAATCACTCCAACCTGCGAAATTCTAAGATTTTGCTGCTGCTTATAGAGTTGTTGGAAAGTCTATTGTCAGCAACGAAGCGTCACATTTTATTGATTTTTGTGGGTCTCTTTGTTATTTAGGTTAGGATTTCATGCAAAGAACAGGGGTTGGGATCTCCCTAAATCGCGGATCAGAACTCGAGGGGGCGAGAAGTGGGATGGGAAACACAACTATCATCCGTCAGTGAGTGCAACAAGACGTGGGATAATCACCTCACTCACGGCCACGCCAGTGTCCTCAAGGGGCAATGTCCTTAGTCAGTCCGGGTCGCCGCGACGACGTGGAATACGCAAACCGTAAGCCGCTCTTGAACTCCATGTAGTTTAGTGTCCGTTACCGCCGTCCCTTCAGGACAACACGGCCCGGTGCAAGCAGTTTAAGATTCTACCAACTGCGCCTCGGTTCAACGCTCGAGAAATTCGGGTTCTTGGCCTTCGTGCCCGCGATTTTAGTCAGTCCAGTGCCGGCAATTGCGGTGGGGGCAACCATCCTCCGAGTCTCAAGGCTCGGAGCGTGCATTCACGGGGCAATCGCCAGCGTATTACTCGCTCGAGCCTCGAACGCTCCACTCGCCGCGCGAACGGGCATCCGCGCATTGGCGGGAAGTATCGACACCCCGTCTCTCCTCTCCTCTCCGTGCCTCTCCGCTCCTCTCGTGCCCTTGGGGTGCCGACATTCGGTTGCAATGGCATCATGCTTGCCTCGCAGTGCGCTCGTGGCAGCAATTCTACTCGCTGCCGTCGTGGCTGGCAGTCGCTGCATTTCGGGGCAGAGGAACAACCCGTTAGGTACCCTCCTGTTGTTATAGTGATGTGCCGTGCGTGCGGTAGCATGCTGTGCCGTGTGGTGCTGTGGTGTGCTGCGGTGTGCTGTGCTCTGCCCTGGTGTGCCGTGAAGTGCTGTGCGGTGTGGAGCCTTGCTGTGCGTTTTTCCGAAGTGCTGAGAGGGAGTAACGAAGGAGGAATGGGCCATGGCGTGTGGCAATGCGGCTCCCTCACGTCCCTGTCCCTGTATCAATATAGGGTGGGTGGCTGGGTGTGTACTTTTTTTTTGTTGTGTGTGCGTGCGTGTGTGTGTGTGTGTGTGTGTGTGTGTGTGTGTGTGTGTGCATGCTAGTGTGTGTGTGTACACTAGCATGTGTGATGTGCGTTTCGGTTCTGCTATGCCATGCCATGCCATGCCATGTCATGCCATGCGGTTGGCATGAGCAAACAGGCCGATTGGGTCGGGTCAAGTTGATACCTGAAATTCTATATTCTAGGCCGGGTTGGGTATTACCGTGCCGTGTCATGTCATGCCGTGCCATCTTATTCCATGCCACCCACCCCACACGGGTGCAGGCGAGGTGATGGGGGTGTTGGCGTCGGAGTGGGGCAACGATAACCTTGCATCGGTCACATGCCAGGAGGACTCCCTGGATATCCTCCTCTGCAACAACCAGGGCCAAGTGGTCGCCATGTAAGTGCTTCTACGCTACGCCCGCTACGCCCACTTTTGAGGCGCCTCAAAAGTCGTCGGAGTGGGGCAACGATAACCTTGCATCGGTCACATGCCAGGAGGACTCCCTGGATATCCTCCTCTGCAACAACCAGGGCCAAGTGGTCGCCATGTAAGTGCTTCTACGCTACGCCCGCTACGCCCACTTTTGAGGCGCCTCAAAAGTCGTCGGAGTGGGGCAACGATAACCTTGCATCGGTCACATGCCAGGAGGACTCCCTGGATATCCTCACCTTCAACGGCCATGGCCAAGTGGTCGCTATGTAAGCGCCAAACCAAACCCACCCGCCCCCCACTCCACCCCGCACTCCACCACCCCATTTCCATGCCAAGTCAGCATCGTGTGAGCTCTAATTTACCGCCATGTAAGTGTCTAGTCTCTGTTATGCTATTGCTAAGCCATCATCACCATGCAAGCAAGTGCAGCCTGTGCCGTTGCTAAGTGCAGCCCTCCCTGACACCTCTTTCCACCTCGTGCCGTTGCTCTCCTCTATCTATCCCCAATCATCCGTGCTGGAGTGAGGAGCAGGCACCTGGATGGAGTGGCATATGACTTACTAACCACCATACCTGCGCACATTGGCAACCTCACTACCCTCACATACCTGTGAGTGCCCCCCCTCCCTCTTGCAACTTCTTGGAAATCTATGCGTCCTCCCCGCATATGTCTGCCATGACGTGCCCACTCCACAAGCCACACGCCACACCCATGCTCATGCATGCGCTTGCCTATCCACATACCAAGACACTTGATGGGTCATGCTCAGCGGCAGAGGAGAGGAGTGCCATGTGGAGTTACTTTGGAAATCTCGAGGACATGCTTTTCTCCATCTCAACATTTTTATTTGGCTGGCTGGCTGGCTGTCGTATGAATGTGTGAGTGAGTGCATGTGCAGGAGCATGGTGGACAACTCACTCACGGGCTCTCTTCCAGAGTCATTCAGCAAGCTCGTTGTGCTGCAGTATTTGTACGTGCAAATGCCCTTTTCCTCCCTTTACTAGCGATTGTTTTGAGTTTTCTTTGTGTGTATGTGTGTGTGTGTGCGTGTTTTATTTTCTTTGATTCTCTGGTCTGGCATGCAAAGAGAAAGAAACATCTAAGGCAAAGAGCGGTCAAGCTGTATGCACACAAACCTGCGAGCATGAATGAATGCCAATGCCTCCTCGCACACACACACTCAACCACCCAATCACCCACCCACACACACACACACTGCCATGCTCCCTTGGCAGGGATGTGAGCAACAACTTGATAACACAGCCCCTCAATGCCATCATAACCCTCGCTTCCCTCACCTACCTGTAAGCTCCCCCCTCCGCTGCACCCACACGACCTTTGACATGCCGTGTAAGCCGACTTCAGGAACTGACGAAGGGGATACAAAGGGGGAGCCACCTTGAACAAACCGATCTATGTGGTTCACAGTCAGTCACTGCAGTTGGTGGCTCGGTGGCATGTCAGTGGCTCACTGATGCATCCTCCATGCTCCACTCGCTCGCTCATGCTCTTCCTCTCTCATCTCATCTCACCTGCCTAGCACAAGCGCCTCCTGGAGTAGGCTCGTGATCTGCTGCCCGATACACAGGCAGTGTGCTCTGCTCTGCGGTGCGTTGTGGTGCGGTGCTGTGGTGTGGTGTGGTGGGGGTGGTGGCAGGAATATGAGTAGTAACCTCATCAGCACACCACTGCCACCAGGAATGAGCAACCTGCTAGCACTTGAGTACCTGTAAGTGCTATACACGCGCTCTACTTTTGAGTCGACTCAAAATTCACCTCAGTACCTGTACGTGCTCCACACACGCTCTACACATGTGCTATTCGGCCATGCACTACCATCACTCATTCATGCCCTTCATCACTTGCCACCACACAACCTCTGTACCTGCTTTCCTCTTCCTTGTACACTACTCCACCCACATCAACTCCTGCATTGCTGACCAGCTCAGATCATAGATCTCAATCTATCAGGCCTGTGCGCTCGTGCTTCTCATAGCTTGCTCGTGTGTGTGCGTGCAGGGTCTTGATGAGCAACAGCCTGATTTTTTATTATTATTACTTTTTTTCTGGCGTCTCAAAAGTCGTCTGCGCACTCGTGCGTCTGATCCCTGCTGTTGCTCTCGTGTGTGTGTGTGTATGTGTGCGTGCAGAGACTTGATGAGCAACAGCCTGGACAAGGTGCAAGCTGTCTCCGCCCTCACCAACCTCAAATTCCTGTGAGAGCGAAAGAGAGGACGCTTGCGCCTGTGCTGTTTTGAGGCGCCTCGAAATTCCTGTGAAAGCGTTGGAGAATACACTGGTGCCAATGCTGTTGCAGGAATGCTTGTGTGCCTGCCTCAGCAGTAATCCCTCAGCAGCCTCCCCACATACACACGCTCCCTCTGCACATGTCATGGACTCACATGTGTGCTAAGTCTGTTCAATCGACTCACATGTGTGCTAAGTCTGTTCAATCGACTCACATGTGTGCTAAGTCTGTTCAATCGACTCACATGCCTACCTGTAAGCTCATCACCCGGTGCTTTCAGAGCCATTGTTGTTCCTGCTGCCAGAGGCATTGTTGTTTCTGCTGCCAGAGGCATTATTGTTCCGACCCCCCTTGTGCTGTATGGCTGTGTGGCTTTGTTGGCTATGCTGACGTGGTGGCTGTGGGCTGAAATGGAAATGCACAGGAGACTGGAAGAATGCTGGATAGAACCTGCACCTCTAACCATATTCTCCCCGTTGGTGGCATTGCGTTACTTGTGCGTATACACCCTCTTTGCTTTCTCAATGGGTCCTTGTAGTGATGGGTCCTGGGTACAAGCCACAACCAGAGGAGTCATCGTGCAGGGTTGATTTTTGAGGCGCCGCAAAAATCACCTCAATGCACGCGGTTTATAGGAGTCTACGTGTAGGGGGGTCGACTGGAAAGGAAGCTTCAACGGAGGCTCTCTCTCTCTCCAAGACCACAAAGCGTTTCCCAGCCCAGGTCATTGCACTCTCTATTTCTGCTTCTCCTTTACTCTCTCGTTCCCCTCCCTTTTTTATCTCTCCCTCGGCCTCCCTTTCCCTCTGTCAATTTCTCCTTTCGTCTCTCCTTCCTTCGCTAGTTCACAATTATGGTGCGGGAAGAAGGCAAGACGTCTCTAAAGTCTCCGGTGTGTGCGTGCACAGGAACCTGTTCAACAACTCGTTTGAAGGCTCTCTTGCTGCCCTCTCAACACTCACTCGCCTCCAACACCTGTAAGAGTCCCACCTCACCTCACCTCACCTCACCTTACACTCTCCTTACCCCTAACACCTGTGAGACCCTCCCCCATCAACCGTTTCCCACTGGCCTGCCTCCCTTGCAGCTTCCCTATCCTTCCGTACTCACTCTCACACCATAATGTTGTGGCATCTGAGACTTCATCACATTCTATCAGTCCCTCACAGCTCATGTTAACAATCAGCTGAAGCTCACTGCACATGCCACCCGCATTGGTCTCATGTGTGATTTACTTCCATTGTGTATGCCCGTTTCTTTTGTGTGTGTGTGTGTGTGTGTGTGTGTGTGTGTGTGTGTGTGTGTGTGTGTGTGTGTGTGTGTGTGTGTGATTTTGTGTGCGCGCGCGCGTGTGTGAAGCATACCCTTTTGTCCTCTTCTCTCTGTACCTTTCTTTCTTCATTCTGCTTCTGTTCTGGCAGGGACTTGGCGGACAATTACATAGGACCAAGCATACCCTCCACTGTATTGCGCCTCACAGGGCTCTCTTACCTGTACGAATGGCACAGCACACACATGGAAGAAGGTTACAGAAAAGGAAACAAAAAGTCTGCAGATGCTTCAGCTACTTACCTATCTATCGAGGGATAGTTCGTTGGAGTCAAGTCAGTAGCAGCATTGGTCAGGTTGCTGATGTGCTCTTCGGTGCGGGTGTGTGTGTGTGGCATTGCTGGTTGACCTCATGGAAATGGGCTCAAGGTACTAGTTTGTCAGGTGTTCAATGAGCCACAATCGTGGAGATGGGTCCACAAGACAATGCCTGCATGCCCACATGCCCACATGCCCACATGCCCACGTGCCCAAATGCCCACGTGCCCACGTGCCCATGTGCCCACGCGCCCACATGCCCACGTGCCCACGTGCCCACGTGCCCACATGCCCACGTGCCCACGTGCCCACGTGCCCACGTGCCCACGTGCCAGCATGGCCAGTTCGTTGACTATCACCCGCCGCACGTGCCTCTCAACGTTTTTCGTATGGATCTGTCTCTCCCATCCCCCACCCCGTCCCTCATCTCCCTCACTTGGCTATTTTGTTAATCTAGCACGGTCTTACACACACACACACACACACACACACACACACACACACACACACACACACACACACACACACACACGCACGCACGCACACCCACTTTCTCCCCATGTCAACAGCGATCTCTCGCTCAATAATCTGAGGGGCCCCATCGACCCCCTCACATCCCTCACTGCACTGCAAGACCTGTCAGTATTCGTGCGCGTGCTGCTTGCTGCTCCACCACACTCCTCCACCACTCTGCCCATCCTTCCATCCCTCTATTCATCCATCCGTCCGTCCGTCCGTCTGCCGTCCGCCGTCCATCCATCCATCCATCCATCCATCCATCCATCCATCCATCCATCCATCCATCCATCCATCCATCCATCCATCCATCCATCCATCCATCCATCCATCCATCCATCCATCCATCCATCCATCCATCCATCCATCCATCCATCCATCCATCCATCCATCCATCCATCCATCCATCAATCCATCCATGTGTATCGCTGTGCTCTGGCTCCCTCCACTGCATGCAGGGTGTTATACACCAACCCTCTATCAGGCTCTTTTCCTGAGTCCATCTCACGCCTGTCTCGCCTCACCTTTCTGTGAGCCATGCACTGCCATGCACTGCCATGCACTGCCATGCACTGCCATGCACTGCCATGCACTGCCATGCACTGCCATGCGCTGCCATGCACTGCCATGCACTGCCATGCACTGCCATGCGCTGCCATGCACTGCCATGCACGTGGACTTGTTTGGAATCTGATAAATCTCCACAATGCATGGGAAACGTTTAAAGGCTTGACACAGAGGTTCAGCTCCTTTCTAGTGCATTCTTCACGTCACGCCACTGAAAAACACACAGCCCAGCTTCACACTACAGGACCATTACCCACCCCAACACGTTATCACCACCAGCGCCAATGAGCCAGAGGCTGCTTCTTCTGTGGTGGCCCTCGGACCCTCCAATTGCCACACGCTGCTTCGCTCTATGCGTGTTTTCTTGCCAGGCAGGCACTAATTCATTCAACCACTCATTCAATCACTCACTCCCTCACTCATGCATTCGTTCATTCATCCGTTGATCCATTCACTCATTCATGTACCTCATTCATTCATTCATACTCTTCATGCTCCACCCCGCGACACATCCAGTGAGGTTGGCGCCACCAACTTCACAGGCACCCTTCCTGCATCCCTTGGCCAAATGACCGCTCTAAAAAATCTGTGAGTTCAGATCTCGTCAGTGGCACCCCAATCGCCCTACTCATCTCTCACAATCAATTGCTCAACGTGTTGAGTTTCCCCCACACGGAAGCTGATGCTGCACCAAGGTGCGCTCTCCCCAGGCCAAAGCACAGCCAAGGCAGCACCAAACCAACAAAGACACAAACAAGCAGATAAGCAGGGTGGCGAAGTTTGCATCCAAGGATTCACGTGACCACATGTATGCACCTAACCGCGAGGCACCCCCTACCAATCTGCCAGAATTCTTCCTGTGAAGCCGCGACTTGTTCTTTTCCATCTGCCTGGATTACACGACCAATGGTGGGGTTGATGCCAGTCTTCGAGTTCACTCAAGATTGTCTCCTCTCCTCTCCTCCCTCACCTCCCAGGGGCTTGGATCGCACAACAATGGTGGGGTCGCTGCCAGCATCCCTGGGCAACCTCACTCGTCTTACTGCGATGTACGGCTCCTGCTGTGCTATGCTGCGCTGTGCACTGGTGTGCCGTGCTGTTGTTCTGTGCTGCGCCATGTTGCGAGGCGAGGCCAGGCCAGGCCAGGCGAGGCGAGGCGAGGGGACTTCGAGTCAAAAGTCACCTCGAAGGGGAAATGCCACACACACACTGTGGCATGTCCAAGCACAGCCCAATGCCTCTCATCACAAGGCACTTGCTTGCCACACTGTGTGCCCTTTCCTCCAATTGTGCCCGCGTGCTGTGCTCCCACTCGGTTCCTCCACTTCTCTTTCAACTCATCCCACCAGTCCTCGTGCCCCTCTGTTTTACCTTCCTCAGTACCCACCTTCCACCTCTCCCCTCCTCTCAGCTACCTTCCTCTCAGCTCAACTATCCTCCTCTCAGCTAACTCCCCTCCTCTCCACTTCCCCCTCCTCCTCACCCCTCCCTCATGGCCTGACCCGTCCTCCTCTCCTCCCCCCCCCCCCCCCCCCAGCTTGTTCGACCCGCTCAGTAAAACGTTGGGCCCCAGGTGTGGCAAGGAGGGCGCGTGCGTGGTGAATCAAACTGCCTTCACGGCTTTCTGCAACGCCTGCCCTGACTTCTGTCTGACCTGCTCGCCCCCAGGCCTCTGCACTGGCTGCAAAGGTGCGGGAGAGCAGTGGGGGATGAGCTTGGGCCGGGGCCCTGGCCAGCCTGGGGTCGGGCTAGGTCGGCCGAGCCTCATTGGCAGGCCGGGCAGCAGCCGGTCCAACCTGGTCCGGCTTGCTGGGGAGTTTGCCTGCAGCCGGACCTGTGGTTATGTGTGTGGTGTGGATGTATGGTGTGGTGTGGGTGTGTGGTGTGGTATGGGTGTGAGTGTTGGTGTGGTTGGGATTGTTTTTGTCAAATTTGCTTCCAGAAGAAGCAGCACCACGCATGCAGGCTGGTTGGTTCTGTGCATGCACTGCAGGTACAGTTTTCATGGAATAATATCTTCCCTGCCACATCACTCACACACAACCCCTCTCCCTGCACTCATGTCCATACTTACAATTGGTGCCTAAACCTGAGCGCGCACAGCACACAACCCTTCTGTCCCCAGCTCCACCCATCACCCTCTCCGTGCACCCTGCATCCATTGCCTCTCTCTCCTCTCCCCTGTCAGTGTCTGAACCTCAGCCAGAGCTACCCGCAGGAATCAACAGCAACGGCAGCAGCAGCAGCAGCGGCAGCGGCGGATTGTCGACGGGGGCAATAATTGGCATCGTGTGTGGGGTGGTGGTGCTGCTGCTCGCACTGCTGCTCGCTGTCCTCTTCTTTCTCTACCGGAGGAGGAAGAAGGTCTCTCGCTTCGGTAAGCTCTCCCGTTTCAGTAAGGTCTGCTTGCGTCGGATAACGGGTGGAATGCGGGCAGGCAGGCAGGCGCGGGGTGCTTTGATAGAACTAGAGCCTTGCTCCTCTTTGTGCTGCGCTGAATGGCACAAGATCGCCCCAGGGGAATGCAGTCTTGGTGGGCACAAGAGCCACGTTGCTCTGGTCCTGCAAATTCTGCATAACCATCGCAACATGGTCATAACCATACATGCCTTTATGCTGCATTCCATCACTCGAGGTTGAGTGAGGAGGGTGGTCACACGTCTGTGTGGTGCCAACGCTCCAAGAACACACAAGAAGCTGATGCCCTTAGCTGTACTCTTAAATGCCTGATGCTGTTCTCTCAAAGGCAATCACGCATGGAACACTTGAGTGCGTGATGCAGGAGCGTTGGCGAAGGGCGTGTGTGTGGAGTATACAATGAAGGAGATGGCGCAGGCCACCAACAACTGGTCCGATCAAAACCTGCTGGGGTCGGGGGGCTATGGCGACGTGTACAAGGGCGTGTCACCCGACGATGGCACCACGCTGTGGGCTGTGAAGCGCGCCAAAGTCATCACCAACGACTTCCAGCGGGAGGTGCGTGCGGGTGTGGGTGTGTGCGTGGTGTGTCGCCATGGCTTGAACGCAGGATGATTGTTGTCGGTCAGGTTTGCAGAGGGAGGTGTGTAGGCCGTCATGTTTCGAAAGCGAAAGGGTGTGCCATCTGAACTCGTCCCTCTCACTGCCCCATTAGGTGAGCGAGATGGCAACGAAGCACCACCCCAACCTGGTGCGCCTGCTGGGCTACGCCACGTGTGGGGACCTGCGGGAGCGCATCGAGCAGATCCTCGTCTACGAGTTCATCCCCAATGGGGATCTAGACAAGTGGCTCGGCAAAGGTTCGGCCCAGGGGGAAGGAAGGTGGGGCAGGAAATGTTTAAGATTCGAGTAAAGGGTGCTCCAACAGCCTTTTTCTACGAGTTTTTCTCCGAAGGGGACCTGTACAAGTGGCTCAGTGCAGGTAGGGAGGAGGAGGAGGAAGTGGGGAGGGGGGTAAGGTGGGCAGGAAGTGTTCTAGATTCGAGGGAAGGACACTCCAGCAGCCTCTTCCTGATTCCTTTCATCCATCGGCTTGTTCCACACATGATTTTTCTCTCTTCAGACTCTTATTTTCTCCACTCATCTCTGCTCTGTGCTCCCTTGCACCTTGCTCTCCTCCTCTCCTTCTCCCTTCAATCTGTGCACGGCTGTGCAGACGCCCCCGCGCCCCTCACATTGAAGCAGCGTCTGGACGTGATAGTGGGAGCAGCGCACGGGTTTGAGTATTTGCATGGCTTTGACATCGTGCATCGTGACATCAAGCCCGCCAACATCCTGCTCGATTCCAACATGCAGGTGAGCAGTCAAGAAGCAGTGGCACTGTCTGCTCTCCCTGCTCTCCTATATCTCTGACAACGTTTCCTGCCTTTTGGGCATCCACCCATCCATGCACGCACCCACCCACCCGTGCACGCCCTATCATCCCTCGCAACAGCCCAAGGTGGCTGATTTTGGTCTCGTGCGAGTGGAGGGGGGCACCACTGCGCGAGCCACGCGAGTGATGGGCACACCGGGCTACGTGGACCCGGCTTACTCTCGCACGCAGAAGGCCACTCCTGCCACTGATGTGTACAGGTGCGGATGTGCGCTGACACACACAACCACACTAGGTCCGGGCCTTGTCGCCACATGTGTTGCAAATGGCTCACCCACTTAATGAATGAGATGTATTTGCTTGCAATCTTGCATCTTGGCACCTCCTTGCCATGTATGTGCGTCTGTGTGTGCATATGTTTGTTTGTGCGCACGCGCGCGCGTGTGTGTGTGTGCGTGCGTGCGTGCGTGCGTGCGTGCGTATGGCAGTTTCGGTATCCTCATGCTGGCAATGCTCACGGGCAGGCATGCCACGTTCGAGGAGGACAGCTGCTTAAGGAACATCCTTGACTGGGTACGCACGCACACCTCTCTCCCCGCTCATGAAACATACGTTTCTCTCTCTCCCTTCCCCCCTTCTCCCTCTCCCCCCTTTCTCATCTTCCCTCAAGTTAGCCTCTGGGCTACACCCACTCTGTCCCACCTCCACCCCCCCCACCCCACCCCCCTCCCTCCCTCTTCTCCGCCCACTCCCAGTAGCCGCTGCAATTGCGCCTTTTCTACCTCCCCTCACGTCCTTCCACCTCTTCCCAACCTGTTCCACCACTTCCCCCCCCAACACCCACAGGTTCGGGAGAAGCTGGGCCAGGGGTCACTGGAGGAAATCGCAGACCCCCGCATGGGCCCCGTCCCTCCAGACGCCCTGCAGCGCATGGCTGATCTGGCAGTGCGGTGCTGTGGCACCTTCACTGCGGAACGCCCTTCCATGGGCCGCATTGCCCAGGAGATGGAGGCGTTGCGGACTGAGGTGGGCGGTGGAGAGGAGCCGGTGCACAACAAGTCTTACATGAAGGTGGATGCCGAGCTGAGGGAGAAGATGTTGTATCAGAGTCAGATTAGCGAGGACAATTTGAACGATGCCCTTGCCTCGATTCCCTCGGAGAGAGTAGCACAAGGGACATGGGGAGTATGATATGAGGGAGACAGATGGCATGAGACATGGAAGAAATGAGCACGGATGAGGCCCGCTTGGGCGTTTGAGTGAAGGGAAGGGAGAGGAATATGAAGGCACTAATCATAGTACTGTATGCATGTAGGCTCTTCAACGTCCCACCAATTCGCCTTATGTTGGGTGTGCTGCTGGCATGGTAGGGATCAAAGACATAGGGTGGGTGAAAGGAAGTAAAAATACAATTCGAAATAATATAAGTTTTAATCATTCTACATTGTGATATTAGCTACATAATCTCAATGTATGCTCCAATCCAACGTGTTAGGCCCGCTGGCCTAAATCCGCTAAGGAATAGCGGGGTCGACTAAGTCGGGGATAAACGCGGCGGAAGACTTAGGCGAAAGAACTATAGGCGAAATAGGCAAAGAAGTTACTGAGTAATTGAAGAGTTGAATGAGAATTGGTTGAGAATCGATTGATTTAGGCAAGTACAGGAGAGCTTTATATAGCGAACAAGAGAGGATGTTGGAAAGTGGTTTGTGGGACTAGGAATTGGAAAGCTAGAAGAGTAGAGTGCCACGTGGCACAAGGAAATCTGGGAAATCCCAAAGGGACTGGATAAAGATAAGGTTGGAATTAGGTTGGGGGACTGTTTAGGGTAAAATATCCTTGAACAGTTAAGTACCCTGTAACACTACCCCCCTCCCAAGGAGGCGACGTCCGCGGCGCCTGCAGACTGAAGGTACGCTTGGAGGCAAGCGTTGTCGGGATACAGCGAGGACGAAGGAACCCAGTTGTCGTCGGCTGCGTCGTAACCATGCCAACGAACCAAGAATTCGATGAAAGAGACACCCCCCTGGAGACGGCGACGGTGCCTGATGATGCATTGGATCTGGTAGTCGGGCTCGTCTGTGTCAATAGCTACCGGCAATGGAGTGCGTTTAACGGCCCGAGAAGGTGGGGTTGGGATCGGTGTAAGGACGAAGAAGCGACACGTGGAATGACGGGTGCATGCGGAAATGAGCGGGAAGGCGGAGGCGATATGCGATTGGACCAAGTGCGCGCTCAATGACGAATGGACCAATGAAATGTGGACGAAGCTTGCTATCCTGCGGCAGTCAGAGGTTGCAGCTATCCAAGAGAACACGGTCGCCGACTGCGAACGACACCTCGCGACGACTTCGGTTGGTGGTGCGTGCCATGCGTGCATTTGCGAGCTCAAGGTGCTTCCTCACGTGATCATGAATGAAGGTGAGATACTAGTGGAAGTTGCCCGCACGAGGGACTGTGGGTGTGAGATCGACATGACTGGGGACATTGGGGTGCTGACCGTACAGTGCGAAGAACGGTGACATGCCTGTGGCGGAGTGGTGTGTGTTGTTGTAGGCGAACTCGGCCATGCTAAGCTTCTTGTCCCATGCGGCTGCGTCGTGCATCGTGATGCTGCGAAGAATCTGCTCCAAGGTCTGGTTCACACGCTCGGTCTGTCCGTTTGTCTATGGATGGTACGCAGACGACATGGCTAAACGAGTCCCAAACAGTGCAAAAAAAACTGCTTCTAGAACTTCGAAATCAAACGAGGGTCGCGGTCTGAGATGATCGAATCTAGAACCTCGTGCAGTCGGACTACGTTATCTACGAACAGCGTCGCGGCTTCCTCAGCTGTAACCTTGCCATGCGTGGGGATGAAGTGCACTGCTCAAGAGAACTTATCCACTACCACGAAGATGGTGTCGTGACCCCTAACTGTGCGCGGTGAAGCCATGATAAAGTCCATGGTAACAACCTGCCAAGGGCGCTCGGGCGATGGAATCGGCTGCATGAGTCCTGCATTGCGCTGGCGAGATAAATTTGTACGCTGACATGTGTCGCACGAGCGAATGCAAGCCCTGGCCAGTAATACGTGCGACAAAGCGTCTTAGCCGTCTTATCTGCTCCGAAGTGACCTGCGCTAACTACATCGTGCACCTTGGAAAGAAGAAGTTGTCGAAGAGGGCGGTAGGCGGGAACCCAAATCCGTGGTCCCCTTTCGAATGTAGACACTACCTTGCACCTCTTCTCCTGCAGGCGGCTGCGGTCTGAAGTTGAGATCTACTGTGTAACCGTACTCGAAAAAAACTGTGAGAAGTGGATGGCCGGCAGTGACCGTAAGAATAGCGAGCTGGCAGCAAGGGCGAGTGAGCGGGTCTGCTGGGTTGCGTACGCCTGGCTTGCACTCCATCATGTACTGGAAACTCCCCTCCATGAACTCCATCCACCTAGCCTGGCGACGACTCAGCTGCGGCTGCGATTTGAAGAAACGAAGCGAGCAACGGTCCGTGTGTCTAACATTATCTGCCCCCTCTAGGTAGCACCTCCACATTTTTTACGCATGGATGATCGCGGGCGCCTCTTTGTCGTGTATGGGATGGTTCAACTCCGCTCCCTTAAGCTTACGCGACTCGTACGCGATCGGGTGCGACCCGCGTCCCTAGTCCTGAAGAAGCACTGCTCCTATGGCCTGATCTGAAGCGTCGGTCACTACAACGCATGGGCGAGTGGGATCAGGGTACAACAGTGTCGGTGAAGACGTGAGCGACTACTTCATCTGCTCGAACGCCTGCTGCTACGCTGGACCCCAAAGAAACTCTACGCCCTTCCGAAGTAGGTCGGTGAGTGGACTAGCGATCGATGCGTAACCCTGAACGAAACGACGGTAGTAATTCGCAAAACCGAGGAAGCTCTGCAATTCCTTGAATGAGGTCGGTGCTACCCAATCCTGTACCGCTGCGATCTTCTTCGGGTCGGTCCTAATGCCAATGGCGGATACGGCGTGTCCTAGGAACTCAACCTCGGGGAGAAAGAATTCGCACTTCGACTGCTTAGCGTACAGTTGCTCCCCCCGTAAGACCTCGAAGACCTTCTGCAAGTGCTGCACATGCTCCTCCTTCGTCTTGGAGAAGACTAGGATGTCGTCTAGGTGAACTACAACGAACGACCCTAGGAACTCGAAGAGGACTGTATTCATGAGCGTCTGAAACGTCGCTGGGGCGTTGGTCAAACCGAACGGTAGAACCCTAAACTCGTAAAACCCCTGCTTCGTACAAAATGCCGTCTTAAACTAGTTCTCTGGAATAACACGAATCTAGTGGTAACCCAAACGAAGATCGATCTTTGAGAAGACCATTACGCCCTGCACTGCATCGAGAAGATCCGCTACTCTCGGCACAGGGAATCTATTTTTGACGATGGCGGCGTTCAGTGCACGGTAATCTATGCACATCCGCAACCCTCCGTCTTTCTTAGGCACGAAAAGGATTGGTGCTGCTCAAGGGGACCTAGATGGCTGTATGAACCCCTGTACGAGAAAGTGCCTAACTTGCTGCGTCATCTCCTCTATCTCCGCTGGACTCAACCTCCACTGCAGCTTCGCTACTGGCCTACTCCCTGGCTCTAACTCTATTCGATGGTCGACTGCACGCCATGAGGTAACCCTGGGGGCAACTCGTCGGGGAAGACGTCTCTAAACTCCGCTAAGAGTGCACTCACTTTAGCAGGAAGAGTTGTCTTATCGCCAACTGCTGCGCTCCCTCCTTTCCCCTCCTCAGCTTCCGCCTCAAGGAAATCCGCGAAGATTCGTGCTGCATGCTTCACCAACTGTCGCACACGAACAGCATTAATGATAGTTGTGGATGATGTGGCCCCATCGCTCCACTGAGGCAGCTCCCGGAACTCCCCGTCTACCTTGACGCTACAGCTTCCCTGAGCCCAATCGAACTGAGTACTAACCGTCCGTAGCCAATCTCTCCCGAAGATGAAATCGTATCCGTCCAGCATCACAGAGTCGAAATCACGCCTAGCAGTGATCGGTCCTAGCACTACGCGCAACTTGCGGATGATCGGTCCTATGTGAAGAGACGTCCCATCTACCATGCAAGTGTCCTTGAAGTTCATTCCGGAATCTGCTTTAAGATGGAGACGACTAGCTAACGATGAAGAAACGAACGATTGGCTAGCTCCGCTATCTACGAGAATTTTGACTGGAACTCCATGAAGCTTCCCTAGAAGCATGACTGGATGATCAACAACGTCTACCGAGTTCGGCGTAGATGATTGCTCCAAAGTTGTCTCCTCTACGTCGGTAGACTTGGCGGGTTTGGAAGCGTCCACACCAGCTAGCGACCCGCTATATACTGGCGGTCTCCGTTTCCCTGCTGCCGCTCCTTAAGCTGTGGACAGCCCCGCTTCATGTGTCCCGGCTTTTTGCAGTGGTGACAGTTCCCCCTAAAACACGTTTTCTGTGATCCGTCACTGTTAATAGCACCAATCTCCATGGGCGATGGTCCGTCCCTCGATCGAGCGTCGTGGAACGGTCTGTTGTATCCCATACCGCAATCGTCACAACCCCATCGGCTTTGTACTGCGTCGACGCGTTCTGCTACTACGATAACTGACTCGAAGGTGGACAACCCATGAATCGCTATAACTTCAGCTATGTCCGATTTCAACCCTTCACGGAAGCAGTGATCGCGCATCACTGCTTCCGTGATGTTGTCTATATCGTTGCAGATGCTGAAGAACCATCGTGTGTACACCTGGACGTTTCCTATCTGTCGAAAATGACGCAGACGCTTCCTAGCAGCTTCGGAGACATTCACCAAGTCGAATCTACTTTTTAGCGCCGCTTCAAATCCTTCCCATGTCGTCAGAACCGTGGTAACACCTAAAGCTAGACTCCCTAAGCTCAAAGTTGCAGCTGCATGGCCAACGCCGTATTGATGCCCGTCTGTCTGAGCTCTTCTTACAGCAGTTTGCGTGAGTTGGCGCCACCACTCCAAGGACGGGCCCCTCAGCAGCGTAACGGAGTACTCGATCCGTTGCTGCGCGTCCGCCTGCTGCACCCCGCTCACGGCGAAGTAGTTGTTCAACATAAAGATCCGCGTCCGCACGTTCGCATGCAGAAGACGGTGCGGCATGACCATGAGAAATTGACGCGAATTCACAAAGCTGTAGCATTTCGGCACGTACCTGACGATTTTCAT